TGTGTGTGTGTGTGTGTGTGTGTGTGTGTGTGTGTGTGTGTGTGTGTACATGCATATCCACCTTCACAGTGGTGCCGGCCCCAGCCAGCCGCTCTTCCTCCACTCCCGGGACTTGAATGCCCGAACAAAGTCTTCACCACTGGACAGGAAAGCCCATCTAATGTCTAGAGATGGCTCAGTGGGTAAGGCCCCTGTTGTGCGACCCTGACCACCTGGGCTGTTGCCCAGAACCCACACTAGAAGAAACAACTCCTGAAAGTTCTCATCTAACCGCCACACACATGCTGTGGCGCACACACCCCATATAAACACACATGCACCCGGCGGTGTCAGACACCTTTGATCTCAGCACTCAGGATTAAGAAGCACAGGACTGGACAGAAGACTGAGCCACGAAGAGCACTCCCTGCTCTCGCAGAGAACCTGGATTCAGTTCCCAGCCCTGAGCTGGTCCTTCCTAATCATCTGTAACTCCAGGAGATCTGATATCCTCTTCACTAGATATCCATGGCACCAGAAACACACACACACACACACACACACACACACACTGCACATACACACATGCAGGCAAACCCTCACACACATAAGGTAAAAACAAGTAAATCTTTTTTAAAAAGCAAGCCCTTAGGAGTGTGTGGAACACAAAGGCCAGAGTAGGAATCCCCTGAAACTGAAGTTACAGGCATTTGTGAGCTGCCGGGAATCAAACTCGGGTCCTCTGGAAGAGCAGTATGTGCTCTTAACTCAGCCATCTCTCTGATCCCTATTTTTTTTGTTTGTTTGTTTGTTTTTTGGTTTTTTGAGACAAGGTTTCTCTGTGTAGCTTTGCGCCTTTCGTCGAACTCACTCTGTAGCTCAGGCTGGCCTCGAACTCACGGAGATCTGCCTGCCTCTGCCTCCGAGTGCTGGGATTAAAGGTGTGCGCCACCACCGCCTGGCTCCTGTTGTTTTTGAGACAGGGTCTTACTACATAGCAGTGGCTGGCCTCAAACTCAATTCACAAGCTGAGAGGTGGTGGGACACACCTTTAATCCCAGCACTCAGGAGGCAGAGGCAGGAAGATCTCGAGTTCAAGGCCTGGGCTACAGAGTGAGTTCCAGGGCAAGTTCCAAAGCTAAAGAAACCCTGTCTTGAAACCCCCGCCCCTCGCCCAAAAAAAAAAGCCTGTCTCTGCCTCCCAAGTGCTGGAATTAAAAGTACGCAGCATCACATCCAGCTAAACTTAAAAAAATAATAATAAGGATAAGTGAGTGTGATACTAAATACCTATAAGGCCAATATTCAGGAGGCTGAGGCAGGAGGATCATGGTTTATGGTCACCTTCAGCTATCTAGTGAGACCCTCTCAAGAAAGCAGAGGGTGATTGTATCTGTGTTTTAGTTCTTTTCCCTGTTGCTGTGATTAAAAACAAAAAGAGAAGCCGGGCGGTGGTGGCGCACGCCTTTAATCCCAGCACTCGGGAGGCAGAGGCAGGTGGATCTCTGTGAGTTTGAGGCCAGCCTGGTCTCCAAAGCGAGTTCCAGGAAAGGCGCAAAGCTACACAGAGAAACCCTGTCTCGAAAAACCAAAATATATATATAAAACACCCGAGAAAACCAACTCAAGGGAGAAAGGGTTTATTTTAGCTTAAAGTCCGGGGTTCGGTCCATCAAAGAAGAAGCTTGCGGCAGATGGTCACATGGTGTCCTCAGAAAGCTGAGAGCAACGAATGCTGGTACTCGGTAAAGTCACTAAACTCTTAGGAGCATCTGGCACAGAGGGAGACACTGGGCTCTGGGAGGCACTGGGCTCGTGGAAGACAGACTCTCCCTACAGGAGCCGTGGCTCAGAGGACAGACGGTCAGTCGCCAGCTGATGATGGCAGGCACCTTAGGGTTTAGACTTCACTTTGGTACAACAGCAGTATGCACTGAGTAGAAATGGAATCTATTTGGTCTTTCCTGGGCTATGTGTACAGATGTTGTTGCCTTGCCATCCTGAGCAGCCGGAGTCAGCTCCCAGCCCGACTGATACTCCACCACGAAAGCAAACCGCTAACACTCCACACTGCACTGTACTGCTAAGCTGTGATATTCTGATGGTCCACTGTTAGCGTCGGACTTTCCACTTACGTTTACAGCTTCCTGTTGTTGTTTCGAGACAGGGTTTCTCTGTGTAGCCCTGGCTGTTGTGGATCTCACTCTGTAGACCAGGCTGCCTCTACCTCCTGAAAGCTGGGATTAAAGGCCTGCACCACCATGCCCGGCACCGTTTGTCCTCTCCTACATGACTTATCTCACCATAAAGGTCTTCAAGGTTCATCTATGGTTCTAAATTTGACATGAGAACTTACCCCAGTGTGTGCAACCCCTACTTCTAGGCACTTTCAAGTCATCCAAACAGAAAGTGAACTCACTCCCGAATCTATTTGTGTGTCAGTTTAGGGGAATGGAGACAAGGAGGCTGTTCACATTTGCAGATTTGACACACTCTCTCCCTTCAAGGGATCTAGAAGTCCTTGGTCAACACAATCACCTACAGGAAAGACTTGGAATGTGTAGTGGACTGGTTTTATGTCAACTTGACACAAGCTAAAGTCATCTGAGAGGAGGGAGCCTGAGTTGATAAAATGAAATGCCTCCGTAAGACTGGGCTATAGGCAAGCCTGCAGAGCAGTTTCTTAATTAGTGACTGATGTAGGAGGGCCCAGCCCATCGTGGGATGGCACCACCCCCAGGCTGGTGGTCCCAAGTTCTCCCCCCCACCAAAAAGGGTTTTTCTGTATATAGTTTTGGTGCCTGTCCTGGATCTTGCTCTGTACACCAGGCTAGTCTGGAACTCAGATATCTGCCTGGCTCTGCCTCTCGAGTACTGGGACTAAAGGTGTGCGCCACCACTGGCCAGTGGTCCTAAGTTTTCTACAAAGCAGGCTGAGTAAGCCATGAGGAGCAAGCCAGTAAGCAGCACCCCGCCACGGCCTCCAGGTTCTTGCACTCACTGCTTCTGATGAACTGTTACATAGAACTGTGAGTGAAATCAACCCTTTCCTCCCCAATTTGCTTTTGGCCACGGTATTTCATCACAGTAAGAGTGATGCTAAGACCTAATGGGAAGTTAAATGAAAACCCATCCCCGGAGCCTACCTAGGTCAGGTAGGCTGACTTTGGGTAAACTGTCACTCTATGACCCTCGGGTGCTTAGAGAATGTTAAGTTGTCAGGACTACCATGGGCTTTTCCACCTCTACCAATATTTCACTTGGGGGGGCGGCAATTAACAGCATATGCACCAGCTGATCTTTGTGGTTCATAAGCCACGCCCACAGTGCTAACTAGGTCTGGTCAGTCAACATCACCTATGGGTTATTATATTGGGGTCTCTCTATGTACCCCTGACTGGCTGAGACCTTGCTTATATAGATAGAGCAGGCTAGCCTCTAACTTGTTGTAATTCTGCCTCTTCCTTCCCAGTGCCAGAATTACAGTTATGCACCATCATATCGGACCCCGAGTTATACTTCTGAAATGCTCATCGTATGGCAGCAAGACGGCTCACTGGTAACAGAGACTGCTCCAAGGGCCTGGCACCCAAGGTCATGAACCCGTACAGGTGGCGGGAGAGAACTGGCCCCACGAAGTTGTCCTGACACAAACATACACACAAGAAAAATAACAATACGTTTCTTTGTTTTTGTTTTTTTCAAGAGGGGGTTTCTCTTGTGTAGCTCTGGCTGTCCTGAACTAGTTCTGTAGACTGGACTGACCTCAAACTCAAAAGATCCACCTTGCCCTTATGTGCAAGGTGTCCAAAAAATGCACCTTACTTATGTGCAAAGAGAAATTCTTGCTTTAAAATTATTATTTGGAACCAGTTGTGCCTTTAATCCCAGCACTCTGAAGGCAGAGGCAGGAGGATGACCCTGAATTGGAAGTCACCTTGGTCTATATAACAAGTTGGGCAAGCAGAGGATATACAGCAAGACCCTGACTCAAAAAAACAAAAACAAAACCAAGAACTGGTATTCCTAAATTTCACCTCACAGACTAGGCAACTGAAGCTAGACCATGCGGGACGCTTAACCTAGTAGGAGGCTACTGAGAAGTGTCTACAGGTCTCCAGTTCACTTCCTCGACTGGTGTTTAAAGATGCCACGTGCTGACCTCACCCTGGTTCTCACTAGCCCACGCAGTATGTGATAAGGAGGCCCCACTCTGGTTAAGATGGAAATCACGGCTGGGAGAGTCGGTCCAGGGATGCTCTAGGAAGTAATCATTAAAAGGCAAGAGAAAAGACGCGTGGAACACAGAACGGATGCGGAAGCTCTGGGGCCTCTCTGAGACAACAGAATTGCTCTTGGGGGCCAAGTGCCGGGCACCGATGGCGTGGGACTAAGACTTCGCCCGCGGGGTGGACGGGCCGGAAGCTGGGGCGCGGGGACCCGCGCGGCCGGGGTGGGGGAGGTCTCGGCGATCCACGGCGGAGAAGGGCTGGGGCGCGGGCCACGGCGCTTACCTCCTGCACGCCGCCCTCGTGCTGCTGCGCCATGGCCAGCAGCATGCCGTCGAAGCGCTCCTCCTCCTGCTCCCCGCCCATCGCGCTGCGCTCCGAGCTCCGCACTCGCGCTCTGCGATGCCCGCGCTCCGCACGGTTCGCGTCGGGCCCAACGGTTCCCCTCGCCGGCCTTCCGCAGCGGAGCCGGAAACACGCACGGCCCCGGCCGCCCGGGCCCGCCCTTCCCTGCTCTCTTCCCGCCTCCCCGCCCATCGGTGCCCATTGAGCTCCCGGAACACAGCCCGCTTCACCGGTCATTGGCTAACGGGAGGAGCAAATCAACAGGCGCGACCCGAAAGGGGTGGGAGGGGCTTGCGGCCGCAGAGTTTGGTTTGAGTTGCTATGGTCACCAGATACCTGGGAGCCTTCTAGAAAGCTCCGAGCTCACATCCTTGACAGGGCTGGTAGTTAAGTTTTGATCAAGCAGTGACTTCAACCGTCTTTTCCTACGAGCGGCAGTTGAGACCCAGGAAGAAAGTACTCACCGAAGGGACAACCTACTCCATCATACTGGGCCAAGCTTTTGGAAAAGTGCACAAAACTGTAGTTTGCATAGAGCCCCAGGCTTAGAAACTGTTTGCAGCTGGATGAAGGCTCTTCCCTTACTGTCTGGAAATTCTTAACTTTTCTGGTCTTTTGTTTTATTTTGGTGGTGGGAGTGGTGCTGATGACTTGCTTTGTTTTGCTGTGACAGGGACCGTGTATCGGAGGCAGGACGAACTTGAACTCCTGGTCCACCTGCCTTCATCTCCAAGTACTGAGATGGCCTGTGTGTATCACCTGAAGAGCCCCCCACCCGCGTGTATGCATTTATTTTTTTTTACTTTGTAAACCTGAAAGTGCTGTACTGTTTATTACCAAACATTTCCTGAGAGTCAGGCCGTATCGCCCTCCGTGGAATAGGGACTCATGAGGATTGAACCTCAGATGAACACCCCCAAAGAGCAGGACTCCTCTCCGCTATCAGACTCAGGTCTCTGAGGGATGATCTGTGTCATCTGCCAGTTAGAAGAGGTGCTCTTTAGTTTTCTGTCACCTTGACACAAGCTGGAGTCATCACAGAAGAGGAGCCTCATCTGAGAAAATGCCTCCGTAAGATCCCACAGAGGTAAACCTGTAGGACATTTTCTTAATTAGTGATTGATGGGAGAGAGCTCAGCCCATTGTGGGTGGAGCCACCCCTGGGCTAGTGGTCCTGAATTTTATACGAAAGCAGGTTAAGCAAACCATGAGGAGCAAGCCAGTAAGCAGCACCCCTCCATGGCCTCTGCATCAGCTCCTGCCTCCAGGTTCCTGCCCTGTGTGAGTTCCTGTCCTGACTTCCGTAATGTGGAAGTGTAAGCCAATCCCTTTCCTCCCTTGCTTTTGGTCATGGTGTTTCATCACAGCAATAGAAACCCTAAGACAGAAGCCCTGGACTTCTCTGAGCAAATGGCTCCAGCCAGGCTCTGGCCTATAGCGATCCTGACCACAGCCTTCTCTCCCCCTCCAGGGATTCCAGAAATGATACCTGGCCTTAAGCTCCCCACAGTGAGAGGGACCTAGCTTCCAGTCTGGCAGAGAGGCTCTACCTCCTCAGCTTTCTCTTCCAAAAACTGGGGATGGCAGCAGCAACAGGGACGAAGGCCAGCCTTCAGGAAGTGCCCGAGTGTGCTTTACATCCACTCTGAGCCCACAGACAAGGGAGGCACTGTTGAAGCAGAGTGTGTGAAGCTTAAAAAAAAAAAAAAGAAAGAAAAATTTTGATTCGATTTTTAGATTTCTTTTATGTATATAAGTGTTTTGCTTGCATGGACACCTATGCACCATGTATGTCCAGTGCCTGCAGAGGCCAGAGAGGGTGTTGGATCTCCTGGAACTGGAGTTACTAATGTTAGGTTGTGAGCTGCCACGTGGGTGCCAAGAACTGCATCCTGGTGCTCTGCAAGAGTATCATCAAGTACTGTAACTGATGAGCCATCTCTTCAGCCCCCTACATTCATTTCCTACACACACACACACACACACACACACACACACACACACAGAGAAACATGAGGGTGATTATCACCAATTCCCATCCAGTATAATAGGGTTTGTCCCTTCTGCATTGACACCTTCCATCTCCCACTCTGAGAAATGTGGTTTCCCATTGTCCTAACCCCCCTTCCTCGAGCTGAGCATAGACGCCAGGACCTTGCACATGGTAGGCAAGCTCTCTCCTTTAACTACACTCTCATGCCAGAATCAGACTGGAGTAGTGGCTGATTCTAGGAACTGGGAAGATTGGTGCCTTGTTACAGCAGAAAACAAAAGCATATGTACAGAACAATGTGACAGATCAAAAGAACATAGACACCAGTGTAAGCATTATAGCTCGGGTGGAAAGGGATCCCAGCAATCGGGAGCCAAGGAATACCAAAGTCAACTTAAGCTTAGCAGCTTACAGCCCTGCTCCAGGGAAAGGCTTCCCCAGTGTAACCACTCTGCTCTCCTAGTGGAAGGTTTCCCCAGCAAAAGTGTTAAGTTCTGCTCCGCTCTTCTCCACCCTGGTTCCTGTGAATAGTTGTTACTTCTCTGTTTCTACTCCATTCCAGTGAAAGAAGGTCTCACCCAAGCCTCGTTCAAGAGATATTGGGAGGGAATAATCCAGGAGGGTGGCTGCCTCTGCCATGGTGTTAAAAGGCAGGAGCAGGAGCAGGAGGCCCTTGCTGGATCAGGAACAGAGTGGGAGAACAAGGAAAGAGAGACCATGATAAATGAAGACTCCATGGGAATAGGAAGAAGCAGAGTGCTAGAGAAGTCCCCAGAAATCCACAAAGATGACTCCACTATAGACTACTGGCAATGGTCGAGAGGGTGTCTGAGCTGACCTACCCTGGTGATCGGATGGCCGAACACCCTAACTGCCATGATAGAACTCTCTCATCCAGTGACTGATGGCAGCAGATGCAGAAATCACAGCCAGGCCCCAGGCAGAGCTACAAGAGTCCAATTGACGAGAGAGAGGAGGGATTATATGAACAAGAGATATCAAGACCATGATTGGTAAAAGTACAGAGACAACTAGCCAAACTAGTGGAAACACATAAACTGTAGCTGAGGAGCCCCCATGGAACTGGACTAGGCCCTTTGGATAAGTGAGAAAGGTATTTAGCTTGAACTGTTTAGGAGGCCCCCAGGCAGTGGAACTGGAACCTGTCCTTAGTGTATGAGCCAGCCTTTTGGAACCTAGTGTCTATGCTGAGATACTTTGGTGTCTTTGAGCTTTGGAACAGGGAGGAGGGGACTGGACCTGCCTCAACTGAATGTATCAGGCTCTGCTGACTCCCCAAGGGAAGGACAGGAGAATCCGTAGCTGATATGTAAAACGAATAGAAAAATCTCTTAATTAAAAAAAAAAAAGGCAGCAGCAATCTGAACAGGCACAGGGTTTAGATAGGGCTTCTTAGGGGCAGAGTTTCTCCAGGGAGAAGATTTTCAGAGTGGGAATTGGTTGGGTTTCAATCCCCTTGAGCTTGGACAAACTCAGATTGGCTAGATTTCATGTTCAGGGGTTGGTTGGTTTTCCTGCTCAGGGATTAGTTGGTTTTGTGCTCCATTGCTCAGGGGCCCATTTGGCTCTGGTTTTAGGACCAAAGTGTGTTTCTTTCACTGTTTCACTGGCCCTTTTAGCCTTTTGGTTCTAGTTTTAGGTCCAGGGTGTTTTGTTTGTTTGTTTGTTTTTTACGTGCTCTGGTTCCAGGGCCAAAGTATGTTTCTTTGACTCTGGTTTCAGGGCCAGGTTGAGTTTCTTTCACTGGCTTTGGTTCCAGGGTCCGGTTGGGTTTCTTTGGCTGGCTCTGGTTCCAGTGTCAGGGTGGGTTTCTTTGGCTGTCGATTTTACTCTACAACCAGGACATAGACACACAGACCAGGCTTCTAGTTGCCAAACTGGTGACAACATTATCAGCCGCTCACTAGTATAAATAATGATAGTAACACTTTATAAGCTACTAGATAGAGGGCCATGAATTCAAACCCACATAAATTGGGCCAGTGAGATTTACTCAGCAAGTAAAGACACTTGTTACCAAGCCCAATGATGTGACTTCGATCCCCAGGATCCACACGGTGGAAGAAGACAATCAGCTCCTAGAAGTTCTGCTCTGATGTCCATATGCACACCACTAAGTTTTTTAATCAGGCACAATGGCATACGCCTTTCATCCCAACACTTAGGAGGCAGAGGTGGGTGAGTTCTATGAGTTCAAGGCTGTCTTGATCAACAGAATTCTAGGACAGACAAGGTGTCTTACATAGGGTTGCTGCTATTGCTGTGATGAAACACCATGACCAAAAGCAACCTGGGAAGGAAAGGGTTATTTGACTGTTCACTGTTCATCATCAAAGGCAGTCAGGGCAGGATCCTGGAGGCAGGAGCTGATACAGAGGCCATGGAGGGGAGCTGTTTCCTGGCTTGCTCTTTATGGCTTGCTCAGACTTTCTTATAGGACCCAGGGCCACTAGCCCAGAGATAGCCCCACCCACAAGGGGCTGGGCCCTCCCCCATTAATCCCTAATTAAGAAAATGACCTACAGGCTTGCTTGCAGTCTGACTTTTCTGGAGTCTGATTTTATTATCTTTATGCAGTCTCAATTTCTTAATTGAGGTTCCTTCCTCTCAAGTGATTTTAGCTTGTATCAAATTGATATAGAGCTAGCTAGCACACAGGGTACATAGTGAAAGCTTGTCTCGGAAGAAAAAAAACCTACCACCAAAGCAGCTAGGGGATACAAGCCTGCAACTGATGCAGCTTTGAGGTTGAGGGAGGAGGGTCCCGACTTCAAAGCCTGCCTAGCCTCGGCTAACAGAGTGAGATTGAGGCCAGCCTGCATAACTGTACTTGCTCTTGCAGAGGTTCCAGGTTTGGGTCCCAGAACCCACATAGCAGTTTACAATCGTGTGGGGCTCCAGTCCCATGACCTCTGAACCCTTCTTCTGACCTCCTTGGGCACCAGGCATGCACACAGTGCGCATACATATATTCAGGCAAAACACATAAATCTTAAAAAAAAAAAAAAAATTGAAGTGGGTGCACTGGAGGGCTGTCTAGCATGAGAAAAGCCCTCGTTCTGCAAAAAGAGGAAGAGAAGGAGCTGGAGGCAGTGGAGCAGGAGGAGGAAAAAGGAAAAGAAAAAAAAAAGAGGAAGAGGAGGGGAGGGGAAGGATTCAGGATGGAGTGTGGTGGTGCATGCCTGTTTTCCCAGCACCTGGGAGGAGGAGGCAGGAGAATCCAAGAGTTAAAGGTTAATCTTGGCTACATAGTGAGTTCAAGGACAGGCTGGAGTACATGAAACCCTGTCTCCAAAAAACAAAATAAATAAAATTGTTAAAAATGATTGAGCAAGATGGGTTAGCAGATCAGGGCAGTTTCCCTGGAGAAGCCTGGCTGAATTTGATCCCTGGAACCCACATAAAGTGGAAGGTAGAACTAACTCCAGTTCATACACACAAAAATAATGTATTTTTAATTTTTTTCTTATTTTTGTCAGCAGTCATCATATCCAACAAATATTTAAAAGCAGCAGCATCTGGTGGCAGGTGTGGTAGCTCAGACTTGTAATTCTAGCGGGGGGGGGGGGGGGGGGGGGGGGGGGGGGGGCAACACAGTGCCAGTTCAAGGCTGCCTGCTACAGAGAGAGCAATTGGCACAAAATAAATAAAAATAGAAGAACAGAGCATCATCCTTCCCATGTCATTCCTAGGGAAGAGATGAGGCCTGAATGTAACTTCGAGGACCATGCGAGGACCACCTCACCCAGCTCTTTTAGTCCATCTGCATCTTGTTGGTCTCCCACTGACTACGCCTTGCTGTTCTTTTCCAAAAGGAGGCCTGGGCTGAGATCCACACCAACCACTACAGTGAAAGCAGCATGCCTGCCTGGCTGCAGGGATAGAGTGCTCTGTCTTCAAGTCCACACCACAGGGAGACCTTATTGTCTCAGTTAAGACAGCGAGGCTCACAGAACCCTGGAGACCAGCGGGCAGTCACACTGTGACTGGGAAGCATGGAGCCAAGACCAGATGCAAGGGCAGAGGACGCCAGAGTCTCTCTCCTCAAGAGTGTGGTGACAGCAAGCCCACTAGGCAAGGCTAGCCAAGGTCAGGAACCTGATACAATTGGGGACCTCCCATTTCCCTCGTCCCTCACCTCCCACCACTTGAGACAGATATCCAGGACAGAGAAGCCATGTGCTAGCAGAGATGTTTCCACTCACACCATAGGTGGGCCACGCCTGCAGACCCGGCAGGTGGCAGGGGATGCTGGGGGGGGGGGAGGGGCGCGGCAGTAACTGCTAGCCACCAGTGCTGAGAAACTCACAATGCAGCTGTGCAATTGATTCAGGGGGCAAACAAGGATGACTTGGAGGTCAGACATATCTTTCTTTTCCTATTGGTGTGACTCTGAGCAGGTCACTTCACCTAGTCCCTCCGGGAAGTCCTCACCATTACAAAGGAAAGTGACCCCCATCTAGCCGGTCCTCAGTAAATGGCAGCCCTGCAGTTTCACAGTTTTGCAAGGGCCAGCAGGCCAGCCTCTCTGGAGCTATAGGAATGCAGACTGGGAGCAGGGGGCTCTGAATGGTCTTCCTCCAAAGGGGCCCCTGCGCTGGAGTCACGGGGGGGGGGGGGGGGGGGGGGGGGGGGGAGCCGGACGGACCTCCTAGACTGCACGATGATCAAAGTCTCCCAGGGACCTGGCTCCCTTCCCTGCAGCCTGTTCCTTACCGACAGCAGGAGCAGAGCCCCAAGGTTAGGCAAACACAGCAGAGATAAGGGACTTCCAGACTGGGTCATGCATTCAAGGCTTTGGCCGGCTCTCTCCGGCTGGCTCTTTGGCTCAGTGAGAACCCTGGTCTTGCATGCATGAAAGTGGGCACCAATAGAAACAAACAGCAGTCACAGCCACTGGCTGGTTGAGCGCCTGAGACCTTGGTGCCCTGGTACAGCCTAGGTTAATGACCTTGTTTATACACTTGAGTCATCCGATAAAGGGCATCCAGGCAGCGGGCAGGTGGCCCTGTGCCCTGCAATGGCCACTCCATTGACTAAAGCGATAGCAGCGCCACGTGGAGCTCCAGCGCCCCTCCCCCACCGTTTCCTCCGCAGTCAGGGTCAGTGCGTGTGTGCATTGTGTATGTGGTGTTTTTTTTTTTTTTTTTTTTTTTCAATGAACATGACTTCTGGAGTCAAGGTTGCTTGGCCGTTCCCCCTCCCGCCCATCGAGGATATAAATAGCACCCACAATACAGAGAGCCAGATAGCTGGGAAGAAACAGGAACAAGACACCAACCATGAACTCCAGCCAGTCTGGGGACTGCCCCTGCGAGGGCTCTGCAGGCCGCCCAGCTATTCTGTACGCACTTCTGAACCCCAGCCTCAGGGCCAGGCCCATTGCATCCGCCTCCCGAAGTCACTGCCTCTGCCAGCAGCACCGGCCCGTGCGTCTGTGTGCGCCACATCGCACCTGCCGCGAGGCCTTGGACGTCTTAGCCAAGACGGTAGCATTCCTCAGGAACCTGCCATCCTTCTGCCGCCTGCCCCACGAGGACCAGCGGCGGCTGCTGGGGGTCTGCTGGAGCCCTCTCTTCCTGCTCGGGTTGGCCCAAGATACTGTGACCTTCGAGGTGGCCGAGGCTCCGGTGCCCAGTATACTTAAAAAAATCTTACTGGAGAAGCCCAGCAGTGGTACCCGGGATGCCCAGCCACCAGACCGGCCACAACCCTCGCTGGCTGCTGTACGGTGGCTCCAGCGCTGTCTGGAGTCTTTCTGGAGCCTGGAGCTGGGTCCCAAGGAGTATGCCTACTTGAAAGGAACCATCCTCTTCAACCCAGGTGAGCTCCCAGACTCTCCTGGATAGGGGCCAAGCTGGGAGGGGACCCATCCCGGGAACGGGCCTTCTTGGAGCTTGACATCGACTGTCCCTTTGTATCCTTGTTAGACGCAAATAGATATCTCACAGGAGAGGCATAGAGAGATCAAGCAACTACCTGAAACCACACAGCAGGCAGAGGCAGAGCAGGGCTGGGCATGCTGGTCAAGCTAATGCAGAGGTTGCTCGTGCCGCTGGGCCTGAGAAATTCGCCCTGACTCTCAGGGACTGTGGGAAGGTGGAGGGGGTGGGGTAGACACAGCCGTGTGGCAGCCACATCTTCAAGGGCAGGCAGTACAGTGAGGTTCTGAAGGTTAAAGTCCTCCGTGGGTTCAGAGAGGCCACACAAAGAAAAAGAATGAAAGCGTGAGCGTGGGCACTCCTTGGGAAATCTAGCCGGGAGAACAGGGATGTGGGGTGGGGATGGGGTGTCGGGGTGCGGGAGGCCATGCAGAGAATTGAGACAGAGTCTCACTATGTAACTCTGGCTGGCCTAGAACTCATTGTGTAGAGCAAGTTGACTTCAAACTAAGATCATGCCTGGCATGGGAAAATATTCTTTGTAGCTTTGAGGAAGACAAGAGACAAGCCTTGAAAGTTGAAGTATAATGCCAAACAGCAGTAACAGTACCAAACAGCCACATGCATTCACCATATGTCAGGACTCAGTCTAAGGGTTTTAGATGCTGCTTTGGTTAAGCCTCCTAACAATCATGGACGACAGGTACTGTCATTCCCACTTGACAGATGAAGAAACTGAGGCACGAAATTAAACTACTCATCTACAGTCACTCAGAAAGATTAAACTACTTGTCCAAGGTCACTCAGCTAGTAGGTGGCAGTGCTGGGGTTCACATCCAGAGAGCCTGCTTCTGGTTTTGTATTTTTTTTTTTTTTCAAGACAGGGTTTCTCTGTGTAGCCTTGGTTGTCCTAGAACTCTTTCTGTAGCCCAGGCTGACCTCGAACTCACAGAGATCCACCTGCCTCTGCCTCCCAAGTGCTGGGATTAAAGGCGCCGCCACCGCCAGGCTTTGTTTTGTATTTTTTTAAAAATTCATTTAGTCAGGCACCGGTGGCCCATGCCTTTAATCCCAACACTGCAGAGGCATGGTAGGTGGATCTCTGTGAGTTCAAGGCCAGCCTGGGTTACACATTGAGTTTCAGGACATGAAGGGCTGCAGAGAGAAACCCTATCTCAAAAAAAAAGTATGTATATACATATATATGTGTGTGTGTGTGTGTGTGTGTGTGTGTGTGTGTGTGTGTGTGTATGTGTATATATGTGTATATATATGTATGTATGTATATTATTTTATGTGTATGAGTTTCTACCTGTATGAATGTGTGTCATCTGGGTGGGAGCTCCCGGAAGCCAGAAGAGGGTATCAGGCATTGGAGTTATAAGCAGTTGTGAGCCACGGTGTAGGTGGGAACAGGACCCAGGTCCTCTGCAGCAGCAGTGAGTGCTCTTAACCACTGAGCCATCTCTCTAACCCGTATGTCTTTTTTTAATCCACATTATGTACTTCCTGTCTATAAGTAGATGGATCAATAAAATGAAGGAGATGGTGGTTGAAACCTCCAAGGTAGCAGAGTAGGCCAAGGCCTGTAACTCATTAGTAAAGTGTTGCCTCCCGAGCTACAGGTCCTGGGTTTGATTCCCAGCACCACCAATTAGGCTCTTCTCTATCTTCAAAGGCTGGGAATGTCGTTCAGTGGTACCATTCTTACCTAGCATGTTAACGGAGCCATCAATATATAGTCCAGTTGTAGAAATCCTGCCAAGCAGGCTCTAGCATGCACAAGGCCCTGCAGTTACACCCCAGCATACGAGGGGCGGGAACTGCTAACATCCCCACATCCTGGGCTAGCCTCCGCTCACCAGCCCTCTGCACTCTCTCTGCCACAGATGTGCCGGGCCTCCATGCCACCTGCCACATCGCACATCTGCAGCAGGAGGCTCACTGGGCCTTGTGTGAGGTCCTGGAGCCCTGGTACCCGGCTAGCCACGGCCGCCTGGCCCGAATCCTCCTCATGGCCTCCACCCTCAAGAACATCCCATGTAGCCTCCTGGTAGACCTCTTCTTCCGCCCTATCATCGGAGATGTTGACATCGCTGAACTGCTCGAAGACATGCTTTTGCTGAGGTGACCTGCAGAATGAGGTCCAGTGCTTCCAAAGGGGAGCCTGAAAGGCCCCACTCAGCGCCCCAGGAGCAGCCCTCACCTCAGCCACACCCCGAGCTTGGACTTCCTTGGTTTGAACACAGTGTGCTACTAACTGCCTAATAGGCCCTTGGTGGCCCCCAAAGCCTTTGGGCCAGGGCCAGGGAGGGAGCATGAATGAGGCTGTATATCAGACCAGAATTCCTCCTGACTTTGTATAAAACTAAATTAAGTTATTGGTTTTTGTAATAAAAGGTATGACTTGCTGATACCATAGTTGCCTGTGGAAGGGACCCGCCAATCTCCAGGGTACACCCTACTCTTGCCAGAGGGGACTCCTGGAAAAGAACCCGAGACCAGCTCCTTGATGTTCTAGAGAGGGATGGCAACATCAATGCTGAGGATAAGATTTATTTTACAAGAGAATGAGAAGCCACCAGAAAGCATCATCTCACTTCCTGCCACCTTTATACCCTTCTCCCTGAGCAGAGGGACTTTCTGTCCTTGCCTCCAGAGCCTTTATTGTCCGCTCTCAGGTTACTGTCCCCTAGAGGCTGCCTCTCCCTCAGAGGAATTGGGATTGCAGCTAATCACAGAAATGCCCCATTCTCAAAATAGACAAGGTCACTTCACTTTCAAGGATTTTTGACCCTCGTCGGCATTTCCCCGCCTCCTGCAATTGACAGAAGACACTGGTCCAATGCTCTCCCAGCACCAGGGACAAAGCAGCATCCAGAGCTGGCCTGGAAGTGGCTTAGAGGCAGAGCCAGGCAGAGGGTTAACTATGGCATGGTCACCCTAGTTGTTAAAGTCTGAAACCACTGTGGCCCGAGTCCATGAGCTCCCTTCTGTCCTCCTTCTGCCCTGCCACAGCCCCCTCAGGGGGTCATTCCCATCGTCCTGGCCACCTAAGCTGTGCTTGGCCGGGCCACAGCCTCCAGCCTGGCTCCATTCAGAGCCTGGTTAGCGTCTGTTTTGATTGGCTAATGTCTGTGCCTCCGCGTTTGTTAAATATTTTGACCCGGTTACCCCGGGTCAGGGTGACTGACCTGAAGGGTGGGCAGGAGGAAATGATAACAACACAGTTGCCCATAGGGCTTTCAGCCCTCCTCCTGTGCTGATCAGGCTCCACCCCTTTCACCTCCACAGTCTGGATCCTTCTCACGGGGCCGAGTTAATCATTGCTCAGAGAGAGGTCATTCTTTCAGGGGCAACAGCCGAGGAGTCACCACTCAGGCCTGGCTCTAAAGCTCCCAGCTCAGGACCACGCCTCTCCCCGTTATAGACACCGAGTGCCAGCACCAAGAACACCCCGGCGCCTTCCCCCAGCCCCTTATTATAGAACCACACAGCTCAGATGCCACAACAAGGATTCACAGAACTCAGATGTATAGCTCAGGGTCACCCTCACAGAAACTCTCTCCCTCTATCACACACACACACACACACACACACACACACACACACACACACACACACCAGACCCTCAGCTGACCCCCACATAGTACTGTAAAGCACGTTGCAGCAGATTCCCCCAAAACCATACATAAGTACCCAAGCCACACAGTCACAATACCGTGCACCTGTGCACCCAAGAGTGGACATACTGCTTGGAGACACCTTCAATCTGCATATGTTCTTCTGTTTATTTTACTTTATCTTTTTAGTGTGTGTGGATATTTTGCCTGCATATGTGTCTGTGTATATGTCCATGCCCAGTGCCCTCAGAAGCCAGAAGAGGGCATAGGATCCCCCTGGTACTGGAGTTACAGATGGCTGCGATCCACCATATAGGTTCCTGGGATTGAACCTGAGTCTTCTGGAAGAGCAGCTAGTGCTTTTAACTGCTGAACCATCTGTGATGGTTTGAATGAGACTGGCCTCCGTAAGCTCCTGTTTGATTATATGGTCCCCGGTTGGTGGGGCTGTTTGGGGAGGATTAGGAGGTGTGGCCTTGGTGGAGGAGGTGTGTCACTGAGAGTGGGCTTTGAGGTTTCAAAAGACTCGCCCCATTCCCAGTGTGCTCTGTGCCTGCTGCTTGCAGATCAAGATGTGAACTCTCAGTTGCTGCTCCAGCTGCTAACCTCTGTCTCCGTCATAAATGTCAAACTTCTGGAGCCATAGAACAATTAAATTCCTTCTATTATATGTTGTCTTGGTCACAGTGTTTTATCACAGTAGAAAAGTAACTAAGACACCATTTCTCCAGCCCTATGCCCTTCTTCTTCTTCTTCTTCTTCTTTTTTTTTTTTTTTTTTTTTTCCGAGACAGGATTTCTCTGTGTAGTTTTGGTCCCTGTCCTGGATCTCCCTCTGTAGTCCAGGCTGGCCTCGAACTCACAGAGATCCGCCTGGCTCTGTCTCCCCGAGTGCTGGGATTAAAGGCGTGTACCACTACCGCCCTTCTTATTTTTATAGATTTATCTATTATGTATACAGTGTTTCTGCCTGCATGAATACTTACACACCAGAAGAGGGCACCAGATCTCATTATAAACGGTTGTGAACCACTCTGTGGTTGCTGGGAATTGAACTCGGGACCTCTGGAAGAGTAGGCAGTGCTCTTAACCTCTGAGCCATCTCTCCAGTGCCCCCCACCAGCCCCCTGCCTATGCCCCCTCCCTTTTTTTAAAAAATGAGACAGAATCTTATTACTTAGTGATAATAAAATAAAAAGTGGCTTTGTGATCCTCCAGCCTGCCATGTGCTGGGATCACAGGTCTGCACTGTTACACCTGGCCGTGGGATGTGTTGCTCATCCTTCCTATGTCACAGTAAAGAGAGATGTAGGCAGACCTCACTAAACATGGAGGCTCATGCCAATCACCCCAGCACTCAAGGAGGCAGAGGCAGAAGAATTGCTATGAATCGGAGCTACTTGGTGAGTTCAAGGACAGCTTGCCTTATATAGTGAGATCATGTCTGAAAAAAAAAAAAAAGAATTTAGGGAGCCAGGTGTGGCAGTACACACCTTTACTCCCAGAACTTGGGAGGCAGAAACAGGCTGATTCCTGAATTCGAGTCCAGCCTGGTCTACAAAGCAAGTTCCAGGACAGCCAGAGCTACACAGAGAAACCCTGTCTCAAAAAACCAAAACCTAAAAAAAAATAAGTTAAATTAGGGCTGGAGAATGTAGCTCAATTGGTAGAATATTTGCCCAGCACATTCAAAGTCCTGAGTTGACCTCCAGCCCTGTAAGTGAGGCTCACCTCTAATCCAAGCACCTGACAGTGGACACAAGATAACCAGAAGGTCAAGATCATCCTAGGCTACATAATGAGTTCAAGTCCATCCTGGGCTAATGGAGACCACGTCTGAAGAGATGAATGAATGAAGTGATAGACCTATGTCTACACATCTTCAGGTAGTTCTCAGAATCTACAACCCAGGCCAAATTGCTCTACCCAGCCAGCACTCAGGACTTTAACTAGATAATCGCTTATAATGACCTTTAAGGTGACCTGAACATTCACTTTCTCAGCCATTCCCTAGAGAAATCTTCTAGTGAAATCCTTTAGAGCTGAAAAAGCCCCTCATTCCACACACTCCCACCTCCCACCAAACCTTCAGACCTGGCCTGAGCCGCTGACCTCTGCCTGCCTGGCCTCCTCCTGGCACATCCCAGCCCCTCCCACAGTGCTGACATAGCAGGTCTTTCCTCCAGGTGACCTGATCAAAGGGATGCAGGCACTTGGGGCCATCCTCTTTAATGCCTTTTCATCAATGGCCTCTGTTAGTTACTAACGCCACCTCAAATCCTCAATCTTCCTGTCTCTCCCTTTCCTCTTCCAAGGCCACCAAGTATTAGGGGACATTCTCCTCAACACCCCACACCAGTTTCCCCCTCAACTTACTTAATCTTTCCATCATCCATATAGCTTTTCTTATTAACTCTGTCTTGGTCCTTTTCAAAAAATTATTCTTTCTAAGTGGTCAGGAAGTGTGACCTCTCTCTCTCCCCCCCCCTCCTCCTTTTTATTTATTCTATGTGTGTGAGTGCAAATGTGTTCATGTCTGCTCGCTCACCCCTGTGGAGAGCCAACCAAGGACAACTTTCAGGAGCTGTTTCTCTCTGAACCAGGAGAGTGACACTCCTTCCATGTGGGTTTTCCAGAGCTGGGAGACTGTCTGTTATCAGCATCTCGGATTGGGCCTGTGTCTTGGGTTCGGGCCTCTTTTCTGGGGGAGGAGGAAGAAGCAGGCCCAGCTGGGGTATGGAACTTCCTGGCTGTCTAAAGCTAATCACTGTCTGTGCGGAGACTTGAGCTCAGGCCCCTGTGATGGTAGAGGAGGAACTCCTACCATCACCACAGGCTGCAGTGAGTCGGAATCAGGCAGCCTGCTGTTAGTTCAGCCACTGCTTACTGACCATCTACTTCTAAGGCAGGATCTCTGTCCTCAGGCTCAGCCAGGGATGACTCACTGGAGAGCTGGAGCAGGACTGTGGCTTCAGGGCAGCTTAGGGTACTGGTTTATGGCCATCATTAGCTCTATCTTCATTAGCCAAATCACTGGCTGTGCATCAGGCAGCCCGCAGCTGTCAGCTGAGGTGCTGTGCTCAGCCATGAGCCACCCTGCCCTCAGGGCCTTGGTGCACCCTAGAACCTTTGACGCTGCTGCAAAAAATGAGGTGCTCATCCATGATCTGTCCACCCATTCATTCACCTATTGTATCACGCAGTGTCTCCTGACAATTACTCAGGCCAGACTCTGGGGTAGATGTCGGGAAAGGACAGAGAATGAATCAGACCCACACTCTTCCCCTGGCAGATGAAGATACCTAAGTAATTAGGCTACAGTGATCTGAATCGTGTGGGAGCAGCAGTTACAGAGGTGATTGATTGTGCCCAGAGGCAGGGAAAGGGCTTCCCTGGAGTGCTGATTACTCAGAAATGTTTGAGAGTTTGCAGAGGTGAGGCATTCCAGAGGGAAGGGAATATGCGAAGGCGCAGAGGTGCCAGAGAGCAAGGGGTGTTTTCTGAATGTGACCCGGGACCTGTGGGTCTGGGAGCAGCAGAAGATGGACCTGGGGATGTGAACGGGGTTTGTATCACAAAATGGAACAATAGAGAAAGGAAACTCCAAAGAATCTGGTGGAAGAGACCCATGACAGTCTGAAGGGAGTCATGGTCAACACAGGGGAATTGACATTTGTTCATGGCAGGGCATGGCTAGAGGAAAGCCAACCTTGTGCCATCTTTGAGTCAGGGCAAACCAGGTGTTGTGGAGTCCCAGAACTGGGGAGTGGGGCAGGAGGACCAGGAATCTGA